GCTGACCCTCACTCGGCTTCGGCCAGCCTCCACCCTTAGGAGTGGACCCAGGCTCCACAGCACCCCCAGATGCCAGTGTGGTTCAGTGGGCCACCCAGGTCAGTCTACCTGCTGGACTCAGGGCTTGTTATGAACTGGGGATAACTTTGCCAGATGTGTCTGGAATCAGAATCAATGCAGATAAGAAAAGTCTCCCCTGAATCCCTTAAGTGTTGAGATTTAGATCCCTTATCCCAACCCGTTCTCCTCCTGTAATACTTGGCCTTGTTCCTTCCTAGCCTCCTCTTCTCCTTGGCCCCAGCCAAGGGAGTTCCTAGACCACCAGTGGAGGCTAAGCACATTGACTTAGGAGTCAAGCCAGCCTGAGTTTGAGGCCTGGCTGTCACTTACTGCTATGAAATGAGAACAGAGTTTCAAAGACAGTACAGAAATGTCCTGTATATCCCTCCCCCAGCTTCCCTTAATATGGGCATCTTATATAACCACACTGCATGTATCAAAACTAAGAAATCAACATTAGCACAGTGCTATTAATTTAATGCAAGATATTATTCACATTTCCTTAGTTTTTCCACTAATGCCCCCAACCCCGGTTTTTGTTCCAGGGTCCAGTCCAACATTTCTCATTTGCCCTGGACAAGTTAATCTCTCTGGAGATGATATATCTAAAGCATTATCATTTTTTGTTCAAATACCAGGGTCACATCTGATGGATTTACAGCTCTTGGCATGCGGTCAGTGCTGAAGAGCCTTGATCTAGCTTCTTAGGACCCTGCCTTCCCACCAGTCTGGTTTCCAGGAAACTGCAGACTCCTCTCTCTACCACCATCTCCCTTCCTGAGACATCCATTCCCTCAGTGGCCATCAAGGCAGCAGCCACACTGCTCCAGCAAGTCACAGCTATTACTGAGATGTGTGTGTGTGTGTGTGTGTGTGTGTGCGCGTGTATGTGTGTACAAGAATGGTGAATGAGGGAGTGAATGAACTGAGACAGTGAATTAGTGACTTAATGAGTCCATGAGTAAGTGAAGAAGCGTGTAAAATTGAGTAAGATCGCGCTCCCTGTTCCCTCAACTAATCCAATATGCGGCGGCATCCATTCCTCAACTTTATTAACCCAAGTAGGGGTTAAGAATAGCACAGGAAGAGTTACAGACCCCCAGTTGGATGAGAAAGATACTGTGTTCACTTCCTATTGCTGTTTTCACAAATGACGGCACATTTGGTGGCTTGAATCAACAAGGTTTATTTAAACAAGATATATTATCTTACAATGCCGGAGGTCAGAAGTCCAAACTGGGTATCACTGCACCAAAGTCAAGGTGTCTACTGAGCTACGCTCCCTCCAGAGGCTTCAGGAGTGAACAGTCGGTCTGCTTTCCCCAGCTTTCAGAGGCTACCTTCCTTTCTCAGCTTGTGGTCTCTTTTTGCATCTTCAGAGCCAACCGCGTAGCATCTTCAAATCTCTGATTCTGACCCTCCGCATCTGAAATCACGCCTCCATCTCTAAGTCTGACACTCCTGCCTTCCTCTAATAAGGACCCAGATGATTACATCAGGTCCGCCCAGGATAATCCAGGATAATCTTCTCATCTCCAAAGCCTTAACGTAATCATATCTGGGAAGCTCCTTTTGCCATGTAAGGTTACATATCCATGGGCTTTGGGGCTCAGGAGGTGGACATCTTCATGGAGCCATCATTCTACCTGCCATAGAATCCTTGCTCAGAGGGTGAGTGCAGGCGCTGATTCCCGCCCTCCAGGAGGAGGGACAGCAGTGGGTCGGGGAAGCATCACAGCATTGATCACATGCCTCCGCCAGCCCTTTGCTCTTCCTGTTGTTGTGGTTGTGGCCTGGGATTTTTAAAAGCTCCTCAAATTTGACACTTACCCCCAGATTTGAGAAACACTGTGACAAAAGATATGCCAGGCCACGTTCCTTCCATGTGGTGTTATCACTGCCGAGCTGAGGCTCTTACAACCTCCGAGGTAGGAGCTCCTCCCAGCCCGCCTAGACAGTGTTTTGCAAATCCACCCATGGACTGTGACCCAAGAGGAGGTCATACGATCAGTCTGGGCTGTGTTTTAAATACAGAAGATAAAGCAGAAGAGATTACAACGGAATAGAAAAGAGGGTATCATTTGCATAGTAAGTACAGTTTTGTAAAACTTCTGCTTCTGAAAAGTCTCTTATCTTGATAATGGGGATACAAATAGCACCCCGGACCCTGTCCCCAACACAGGGTTGTTATGAGGGTTAAATGAGCTGATGTATAAATATTATTATGAAGTTGGCACACGCATGAACGGGTCGTGGTATAAAATACATTTCTCATTGTAGACTGCAACGAAAAAGTTTGCAGATGCCAAACTCACATCTCTAGCCTGAGGTTGGCAGGCTTACAACCCCTAGCCCACCACCTGTGTTTGTGAAGTTTTATCGGGTCACAGCTACTCACCGGTTTCTGCGTTGTCTCTGGCTACTTTTGAGCTACGATGGCAGAGCTGAGGACGTGCAACAGAAAACGTGTGGTCTGCGAAGCCTGCAACATTTACTACCTGGCTCTCTGGAGCAGTGCCCCTGCCTAAAGGTCATCTCATGACACAAAGGACGTTAGACGCTTCTTGGCAAGCCATGTGGCCCTGTCCTGCTGCCGCTGCCTGGCAAGCACACTGGCCCATGTAGACCCCTCGAGGCTGTGTGACTGCCCAGCCCTTGGGCCTCCAGAAGTTCTCCTTTGGATTGATGCCCACACTTGCTTTATTTACCCACGTCCACGGCTGTTCACGGTGGAAGGTTAGAAACATGGTACACCGGTCAGGGACCCAGCAGGAAACAGATGGCCACTCAAATTAGAATAACTTGAGGAGTGTTTAATAAAGAGGCTATTTACAAAGGGAAGGACAAGGTGTAAGAAAGCCACAAGGGACAGCAGACTTCTCAGAGGCTAGTAAAAGCAGAGCTCTTCCCACCCTCGGCAGGAGGGGACAAGGAGAGGCAGCGATTCCTGAATGTGGGAGGAGAGTGTCATTTAGAGAGGACTCCTTAAAAGGAGCCGGGACCTTCAGTCTGGGGATAGAGCGCCAGCTCCAGGCGAGCCCGCGGGGAGGGAGCCAGAGGATGAATGCCTTGACCTGACCTCCCGCCCTCCCTGATCTCCTATTGAGGTCCCCATCGGCCAAACTGAAACAGAAGCCCGAGGGCACAGGACCCATTCATGTGGTCCATACCGGTCAGCTTCCCAGGGCTGAGAGCAGGGTGGGGAAGGGCAGGAAGGGGGTCTGGAGGAGCGAACTTCAGACACCAGCACACAGCATCGATTTAGAAAGTCAGGTATATTCACTCCTTTCAGCTCCCCCAGACAAAGAAGCCCCCCACTTCACCCCTCCAAGTCGGCAGTGTGGCCTAGACACCAAAGGACTGCCATAGCTTTTATCCTACTGTCTTCTCGCCCTAGATCTGCTGTGTTCCAGATGGTTCTCGTGGGGTTAAGCTTCCTGGATCCCATCCTCCTGAGAGCGCTGGAAGGCTGTGAACAGAAGCACAGATGAGCTGCTGGGTTTTTCGTGAGTCTGAGCTGAAGCTGATTAACTTGTAGGGGCGTTAGGCCAGTTCTTCCTACAACCCATCCTTCTGTCTCAGGAAGCAGCTCTGTCTCATGCATCTTGGCAGCCCAGCTCAAGTCCAACAAACAGATGAGTCAACCTCTGGCCCCTCAAGAGAAAAAGCCAGAGCGAAAAAAAGCTACCTAGGCGGAAGAAAACCATCCCCAGTACAGAATCTGTTACCACTGGACAGACCTCTCGGCCCCACCACCAGCCCAGACCTCCTGGGCCGGCGCCTGCTCTCTCACAGGCCTCCAAATCCAGCCACAAAACTGCAGCATGTCACCTGGCGGGCCCTTCCTGGCCAGTGGCACACTGATGCCACAACACTCATTTCAGAGGCGAGAAGTCGTAGGCTGACAGGAAGGAAGGGGCTGGCTTGGGCAGCCCGGCCAGCCACCTTGTGGCGAGCTGGGGCTGGAATTCATGGTTGGAGACGCCAGCCAATGTCCATTTTTCTTTTGCACAAGATGGAGGCAGAAATCAGTCTGGGAGCCTTGGGCACGGCCTTGGCAAAAATTCAGAATGTGGCCTAGTCTTCGGCAAATTTCCTTGTGAGGTTCAGCTGCTGTGACCTCACACCCGGCCCCTTGGCCCCCGAGATGGCTGTCCCGTGTGGGCGGGATGAAGGGGAGACTCGAGTCAGAAATGTGGGTCCAAGTCCAGGCTCCAGCCTGCTAGTGGCTGTTTTACCTGAACAGCCTGATTGTCACCTTAGTGATGCTTAGCGTTCTAGTCCTGTAAAAAGGCTCCATCAGCGAACGCTGAGTCGTAGCAGCTCTGTGACCAAACAAGCCAGTACCCTGCAGCGTCTGAATGTCAATAAACGACACCTTTATCCTCTTTCCTTTTCTGTCCAGTTGGGAAACTCCTGGAATATTTGCAACTCTTTTTTTTTTTTTTGAAAAGCCAGAAGCCAGATGGTTGGAGGGTAGCTGCGGGAGCTTTGTGTTCTTGCCCCAAGAAACAGGGACCCCTGAGATGAGAGTGGGGAGCCTCCCCAAAAGCTGGGGGTTTGATCTTACTTCCAGGGACTCCAGTGCAATCAGTAAAATCTTCGGGTTCTCCTCCCTTCTTCCCCTGCCCCCCAAATTTCTTCAGAGAAATGAGGAGTTCAGACGTATAGCCCAAGTGCTTGGGTTTTAAATTAGACAACTTTGTCCTGACAGGCGCCGAGTCACAGCTGTCATATCCAATTATTTTTAGAGTTACTACTAAACTCTTTGTACAGTGTGAGCTGCCGCTGTTCAAGGGAAACAGAAAGACTTCACATTTCCTTGTGACAGCCCTGGAGCCGTCCACCTCCTCATGTTCATTACTTCCAGCCTGTCTTTGGGAGGGATGACGCGGCATCTTGACAGTCGTACGGCGAGGCAGGCAGACCCCGTGGCTCGTTACTACCGCTGAGGGATGGAAAACTCCCCGAGCTGAGCAAAGCCCTCTGCCTCCAGGAGGCCAAGGAGAAACACCCCAAGGAAAGGTGCTGCTGCGTAGCTTTCTACAGGTGAATCATCATCTTTCAAGAGTAGCAAAGAGTGACCTCCAAGTCTCCAACCAATGAGAGTCCCTGTATGTAAATGCCTGGAGCGGCCAGCTTGGGAGTGATGTCACAGTCCCCTCTGACCCAACAATGCCACCACCACTCAAAAGGCTGACCCTGACCTGCAGCTCTTACAGAGAGAAAAATTCACCGCAAGCAGAGCACCTTCTAATCGCTCCTGGAGTGTAGGGACAAAAGTCTCTGCTGTCCAAGTTCCTGAATCCAGGAAAAAAGATGACCTTATGAACATGGGGAAAGAAATCCAGCTAAAACCCAAGGTAAATGTCTCTTCTTACATCCACTTTTTGCTGAATTACAGAAGCAAGTTCAAGGAGCAGCAGCCAAATGCCTGTGTTGGCTTTAAAGAGTTCTCTAGGAGGTGCTCGGAACAGTGGAGGGCCATCTCAAAGCATGAGAAGGCCAAGTACGAAGCCCTGGCCAAGCTCGACAAAGCCCGGTACCAGGAAGAGATGATGAATTACGGTGGCAGGAGGAAGAAAAGGAGAAAGCGGGACCCCCGGGCACCCAGACGGCCTCCATCGTCCTTCCTACTCTTTTGCCACGACCACTATGCCCAGCTCAAGAGGGAGAATCCAAACTGGTCGGTGGTGCAGGTGGCAAAGGCCTCGGGGAAGATGTGGTCGGCAACGACAGACATTGACAAGCAGCCCTATGAGCAAAGAGCGGCTCTCCTGAGAGCTAAGTACCACGAGGACCTGGGCGTCTACCGTACACAGTTCAGTGCCCGGAAGAAGGGCCTCCAAGGGTCGGCTAAGAACCAGCGCAGAGGGTTCGAACAAACTGAGTCAGACACAGCTGATGAATCCAATTAAAATAAAAATGCCATTCAACTGTTTTGCCTGTCCCTGGTCTCGTGTGTGGCGTTCGAGTGGCCACTACTGCCACTTTGGGAGAAAAATGAATGGCGTAGTGGAGGTGAGATCAGGGTTTGGAAACTGATCCCGAGAGGGGTTGGCTTTGGGAGAAGGGGCAACGGTGTCCAAAGGGGTGTGTGTGGTCAGTACTCACTGGGCTTGGCTTGGCCAGGTGGGGTGGGAGTCTCCAGGTGTAAAGCGGAGGTAGGAGCATCCTGGTCCTAAATGGTTATCCAGGTCGGGGGGACCCTACTCAGGGTGAGGCACACAAACACCAGGAGGGGAGAAGGCTGGACCTCAGGTCACGCTCCTACTGCAGGCCCCAGTAGAGGTTCGGGGACTCAGTGTCTCCAGTAATTCCAGAATGGGTCCTCCAGCAAGGCTTACATACTATTAGCGGACCTCCATGAGACTCCCGTGGTGGTCCCTCTCCTAGCCGAGATGAAGCTCGGGGCTGATTTTAGAAAAACAGGCATCTGACTCTGCCCCAAGGGCTGCAAATTGGAGAAAACCCTTTTCTTGACATTTTGGCGGGCATCCACCCAGTCATTTTTCTGTGGATATAAGCATAACACACAGTGGACATTTGCTGCCTTTTGGACCACACAGCATCCATTCCTTTTCCTCCTGCTCACAGCACACCAGCTCCATCCTGACCAAGGCTTGAGCAGAAGGAATTCCCTTGGCCACAGTGACTGGGTCAGTGATGGGCAAGGGACCCACGCTGGTGCAATCAGAGTGGATCTCAGGACGCGTGTAAGGAGGCCTAAGGGAGGAGGCAGCCCTGGGGAAGGGGAGGGGGTGTTGGCAGCCATTTGCCTCATTCTCGGCCCAGAATGTTAGTCACTTTGGCATCTCAGACCTTTGACTGAAGATGAGCCGACATGCTGCTTTTTTGTCTGAGATGGTCTGAGTTAGATTTTCTGCCACTTAAAATGAGTCAAAACTGGTAATTTGATATAAATAGAACCGTTCTGTACTGTAACTGTACTTTTCAGGAAACAATATACTGTGGGCAACATTTCATACCAATCAATATAGACTGATATGGAATATTTTGAAATGGCGCTTGACTTCTGATGTCAAAAAGACGGGGCCAAGATGCAAACTGCTTTTCTGTCACCAGGTTCTGCATGCAACAGACTTCCCTAATTCCACCTCTAACCCCTATTCCTTGAGGGACTCCCGTCTGTAATCTGCTGTTGTTGGAACTTTTACTTTCAGAACAGAAGTAAAAATACGTATTTTTGAAAAGTCTTTTAGAACCGGGTGAGCCTTTAGGAGGTGAGAGGTAGTATAGTGCAGTGATTTAGAAATTCAGGGTCTAGAATCAGGTAGGCCGTTTATGAAGGGCTCCCATGCACCAGACCCTGTGCTGGGCACCAGGAGGACCAACAGCGTCTACTGTTAGGTTCCTGCCCCGACGAGAAGGGTGGATGCCGGCATGAACCACAGCACTACAAAGCCTGAGGACAGGGAGGACTACACAAAATGCTGAAGGTGGGAGGGAGTACCACCCACCAAGGCAACTGCTGACGTCTTCTCAGAGGAAGCAGCTTTATCCTCCTCGGCAACCTTGTACGGATGCTGGCAACATTCCGTTCCCCATTCCCCATAGCTGCTCTTCCAACTTGGCTCTGCTTCCCTCCAGCCCAACCTCCACTCTCTCAGGAGACACCCTCATTTTCTGCTTCATTGAGAAAAGAGAGATTGTCAACAGAGCACTCTCAATCTTCTCCTTCCTCAACGTGTAATCCACAGCCATCTTTCCTCCTGGTCTCACATATCACAGCTAGAACCCTCTTGCCGCCCCTTCCCCTATTTCCCCAGGGCCTCTGCTCCTCACTGGAAAGATGCTGAGTCTCCAGCTTCTCTGCTCACACAGGTTAGCTTGGTGTCCCAGCACACATGGTTCTTATCACTGGCAGGACCTTCTCATTCCTTCGTCTCACGTTTTTCATCTGTGCAAAGAGGATTACGCCTGCCTCACAGGTTGTTTAGTGATTAAATGATGTAACACACACAAAAGCATTTGGCACACTCCTTAGCACAGAAGAGGTACTGTGGTGGATCCTCTAGGGTGACTGTCCCCTGGTGTCCCCCTCCTGGTGTTCACACCTTTATATGATCCCCTCCTGTGAAATGTGGGCAGCATCTGTGATCTCCATTGAACCAAAAGAATAGGGCAGGGGAGATGGGATGTGACTTCTGTGATTATGTCATGGTGTATAAAACTCTGTCGTGCTAGTCGATTGGCTCCAGAGATCATCCTTGCTGGCTGGATGAATTAAGTTGCCAGACTGGGGAAGCCCATGTGGCAAGAAATGGTGGGGAATCTCTAGGAGTTGAGGGTGACCTCAGACTAACTGCCAGCAGAAAGCAAGCTCTCGGTCCCACAGACACCAGAAACTAAGTGCTGCAGCAAACACGTGAGTGGGCAGTGTGACCTTCCCCTGTTGAGCCTCCAGATGAGAACTCAGCCCTGACCCATGCCTCAACTGTAGCCTTGTGAGACCTCATGCAATGGACCCCGCGAAGCTGTGACCAGATTCTGACCCACAGAAATGTTGAGATAGTGAATGTGTGTTTTTCAAACCAACATGTTGTGATAATTTGCCACAAAGCAATAGATAATTCATACACTATGTAATAAATGTCAGCTTCCTCATAACTCTAAAAGAAACCATCTTCAACCTTATTTCTCCCCTACCTGTTTAATTTTTTTCCCTTTGTTGCCAACATCTTGAAGGTGGAGAACCCCCCACCCCCCGCCCCGAGTACTAATTGGATTCTGATTTGTATGACTCTGGAGCGGTCCGGCGGCGGGCTGTGGGCTGCTGTGGGCAGTGGCTGTGTGTTCCACTGCAGTCCTCTCTGGGAAGAGGGCTCCCACACAGCTGGGCCCCAGCCCTCCTGCCACCCTTTTCTGGTTTCCTGTGTGATTAATTATGTGAATGTGGGTGGCCAGTCAGAGTTTTGACAACAGTTTGCGGTGCCCCTGCTGAAAACTAACTCTATTAGCATTCCTTTATGAAAAAGACGACAGGAGGGTGTGAATCTGCTGGCTTCTAATGACAGTAATGTAATGACAGTGAAGGGGAGGGAGAGGAGGAGGAGGAAAAGTTGGGGGAGTCTGGGCCTAAGACAATGGGTGAGGCGAAAAGCAGGCAGATTATCTGGTGTGGGGCCAGCATCCACTGGGGCCCACACAGCTGGGCTCGGGGGCCCTGCCCTCGGGAAGAAGAAGGCAGTCTTTGGGCCCATCGCTATCTTGATGACTGAATCGCTCCACTTGGAAACTTATCTCCGAGGGCCTTTTCCTGTGGCCATTTATTCATTCATTTATTCAACAAATATTTATGCAAATCTTATGCCAGGAACTGTTCCGGTGCTAGGGATGCAGCAAGGCCCCTGATCTCTCATACTCCAGTGACAGGGAGAGAGGTAATACATAAGTCAACAAATAAGCACTCCAGGTCATTTTTTGATAGTGTCAAGTGGTCTGAAGAAAATAAACCAGGGTAATGAGATAAACAATGACAAATGGGGTTAAGGGCACTTTAAATGGATGGTCAGAGAAGCTGACATGTGGGTTTAGATTTAAAGAACAAGAAGGACCAGGATGCCAAGGTCTTAGGGAAGAGTTCTTCAAGAAGATGGACAGCAAGTGCAAAGATCCTGAGGTAGGAGTAGCCCCAGCACATTAGATGGCCAGAAGGGAGGCCAGAACGACTGGAGGTGTGAGTGAGCTGGTGAGATGTGGTCGGAGAGGGACAGGCTTTGGCAAGGCATTTATTTTGAAATCTAAGTGCAGTGAGGAGCCACAGAGGGTTTTCTGCAGGGGATCCACTTGCTTTATCTCTACTTCTGCTTAATGGTCATCCTAGAGTCTTCAGAGACTACCAAGTGCCAGCAAGGGGATGCTAGCCCCTCTAAGGTCTGCCAAAGAAAGAGACAAGGCCAGCAAATACCAAACCCATGGCATTTTTCCCTTCCGGAGGGGAGATAATCAGGAGCCTCCACGTGGTCCTCCTTGGAACAGCTATAAGCTAAAAACCAGCTGTGGAAGCTGTGAAGCTCTCTCCCTGTGATTCATTTTCCTGGGGGCGGGGAGAAGGCAAGCTGAAATATTTCGAACACTTCTTCCTAGGCCTCGTATTTCCCTGCAGAGCTGTTCCCACTAGACCAGTGGTTCTCAACTTTGAGCCTGCATTAGAATCACGTTATTAAAACACAGAATGCTGGGCCTTACCCGTGGAGTCTGATTCAACTTTTCTGAGAGTTGGGCCTGTAATTTGTGTTTTGAGAAGTTCCCAGGTGATACTGATGCTGCTGGTCCTGGGACCAGGGAGTTCTTTCCCCTCGAGCAGCCCTGGCATTGACTCTGAAGAGGAGGCATAACTTATCTGCCTAGTGACTTCAAGAGGAGGGGCTGACCTGCTTTCCTCTCTCCCCTCACCATTCCCCCTCAACCCCACCTGCAAAGTGTGTTCAGGGCTGCTCTCCCATCAGTTCATCAGTAATAAAGGTGACCGGCTGATCCTCGTCTGTCTTTCTCCTTCATCTGCCAACTGATTCTGAACTTGACAGAGAAATAAGTCTGTGTGTGCGTACACATACATATATACATACATACATATATATATATGTATATGTGTATATATTTATATATACATACACACACACACACACACACACTTCCCTTAAATCCCAACAGAGAAGTTGATCCCAGTTGCAAACAATTGACTAGCATCTGGGCCACACAGCAGCACTGGGATCTGAGTTGATTTCAGCCTCCACTAAAGCATCATCTGAGGACAAAAAGGTCCAGTTTCTGGGCCTCTAAGACTGGGGATGAGGTCCGTGGCCAGGGTGAGGTCATCAGGGTGAAGTCACAAAGAACTGGCACCTTTTTGTCTTGTCATGCACCTCTAATCACATGACCATAGACAATACCTGCTCTACAGGTGTGCTGGAGAATGAACGAAATATGTGGGACATCACTGTAAATGGAGTCTGTGTGTAAAAAGCACCCAGGCGAGAGGGGTGCCTGCCCTGGCC